GTTCCAAACTGATGTTCCTTCCAAAATGGTGATAGGTGGTTTCATTCATAGTTGAGCCACGGTACTTTGGAAGAAGCCAGAATACTTATTTTCCTGCTTTTAATTTGGTTATGGTTATGCCTCTTTTTTTTTTGCAAAAATTTGCAGTTATATCTAACTCAGAACTTTTGTAAAATTTACTATAGGCAGCCTATACATATATATGGTTATTCTTTTGATTTGTTCTTTTCTATAAAGAATTCATTGGTGGTCAGTTCATGTAAACTTAATTTTATAGCTGTATATTAGCTGTGCATGCAGGTGGTTTTCTGTTTTTAAGTGTCTTGTTAAGGTAGAATGGGTACAGCCCATTCTTCTAAGGGGAGACAGCCTAACAAATGGATGGCTTGGTTTTAGGGTATTAAAATTTTCATTTTCCTTGCACTATAGGAAGTATTTTGGAGTCTTATTCTTTTTGTAACGGGTTCCATGGATAGCTTCTTATTTGAAGGGTTATACTTGATTTTTTATTTTTTAGGAGAAGCAGTTATTTATACTTCATGTAAAATGTTAATAAAATGAGCCTTACAGTATTACAGCTTTCTATAACATAGATTTTTAAAGTTCAGAATCTTTCCTTTTCTAGAAAGGATTTTAAAAATTGAATATATTTTTATTGATAAAGACTTCTAAGGGGAGACAGAAGGAAACAGCCTTTTAAAGACTATTTTTTTAAAAAGGTATCAGCTAACAAGGGTGAAATCGGTGATGCCACTCCATTTAATGATGCTGTTAATGTGCAGAAGATATCTAACCTTTTATCTGATTACGGCTATCACCTCAGAGGAAATGAGGTATGTTTGCTCTTACATTAGTAATTTGTTAAATGTATTCTATTTTGTATGTGTGGTTTCATTTTTAAAAAATTAAACCTTTCGTTGAAGTATAACACATCAAATACGTGCACAAATCATAACTGTACAGCTTGATGAAGTTTTAGAAAGTGAACACATCTGTGTGATTGGCACCCAGATCCTGAAAAGAAAATTACTAGAATCCTTTTATGCCTAGACACCCACTCCCTCTTCCTCATCTTGTGTCCCCTTCGGTAACTGCTTTCCACCCCCACCCCAAGGTAACCACTCTCTTGGCCCCTAACAGTACAGATTAGTTTTGTCTGTTTTCATTTTTATATAAATGGAATCAGTGTATGTACATACATTTTTTTGAACTTGTTTAACATTTTAAAATGTTTCAGGTCCTGTACAACGGTTTCACTGGCAGAAAAATCACATCACAAATTTTTATTGGCCCCACTTATTACCAGCGTTTGAAGCACATGGTGGATGACAAGATTCATTCTCGTGCTAGGGGACCTATTCAGATCCTTAATAGACAGCCAATGGAGGGTAGATCTCGGTAAGAGAACTGCATCATCGTCGTTATTATCGATTAGGCTTTTTAAATGAAAAATGTCAAACACAATTATAGAGATAATGGTATAATGAAACCGCCATGTGCCTGTCACCCCACTTCAGTAATTATCACCTCATGGCTAGTCTTGGTATAACCATCTTCCCTCTGCCACCAATCCCTGATTATTTCCAAGCAAAGCCCAGACATCATATAATTTCTTCTGTAAATATTTCATCAAATATTTGAGTGGTTCTCAAATTTCTTGATTCTAGGATTCCAAAGAGCTTGGTTTATGTGAGTTGCATCTGTCGATATTTATCCTATTAGTAATTAAAACAGATTTAAATTATTTGTTAATTTATTTAAAAACAACAGTAGTAAACCTATAGCATAACATAAATTTTAACATTTAAATTTATTTTCCAAGTAAATGTAGTGATGCATGACACTGGTTTATCTTTTTGCAAGTCATTTTAATGAGCTGGTTTTTGAGAAGACAGCCGGATTTTTTGTGTCTACTTCTGCATCCATTCCATTGCAGTATTTTATTTTTTATGTTTAAGTATATGAGGAAAATCTGACCTCACGCAGATATGTGGTTGGAAAAGGGAGGTATGTTCTAATAACCTTTTCAGGTGATTGTGGATGTTGTTTTTGGATACTACATCAAAATGATAAGTTGTAGTTTCTTAAAGGTTAGTTGTGACGTAGAATCTGAAACCAAGTAAGTGAATTTTTTATATTTATTACATTAAAATCCATTGGTCTGTCTTGCACTTTGAATGTATCTTTTACAAGTGAATAATTCTGTAGCATCATAATTGGTCATTTGGAAAATATTGGTTTAATAAATTATGCATTTTTAAATGTTGATATATTATACCAAAAAATTCACATTAGTGAATATTATCATTGATGTCATCAGAAAAGTCTTTAAATATTGGGAAACTATCAAGCCCATAGTGTTGGATAGATGTTTTCTAAAATTCTAAGTTTTGATTGAAAACTCAAATTTTCAATAATTTTCAACAAATACTTATAATTGTCTTCTGTGAAAGCTCACTTTGTTCATTTTCAAAAAAATGTCTGCCAGCTGAGTCTGAATTAACTTAGTTGGTGTTAATATTGGTGGATTAATATAATTGCTGTCAGCTTTTTTCAAGTAATGAATATGTTTCATCATAAAAGGGATTAGTTCAGAATCCTGCAAGTGCCTTTCTTTAAGACCATTCTCAGTATACAACTGAAGTGCTTTATGAGGACTTCCCATTTTTTTCATATATTATTAAGAAGATGTGTACTCAAGAGTCAGGGTTTAATAAAACTAATCATTTTTACTGCTTCACTAATGACAGTCTTAAGTAAAACTGGCTCTTTTCCTTCACTCACAGCGGAAAATATGATTGCTAGTAAAGTTTGTGTTCAGGTGCCAGCAGTTTTAATTCAGTTACTTTTGCAACCATCAACGCAATGTCAACAGAGTGAAAGAATCAAATGTGTTGTTAGTATTATGAAAATAGTTTTCACCCTCACAGGGTCCAAAAAAAAAAAAATAACCACAGTACCTTCTTAATATTACTTAATATCCAGTGTTCATATTTCCCTGAGGAGTGCACACTTTTAAAAAAGGTTTGTTGGTTTTAATTAGGATACAAATAAGGCCCATGCTTTGCAATTGCTTGATAGGTAGGTCTCTCTTTCTTTTTAAATCTAGGTTGCCCTCCAACTATTTTTCCCTTGCTATTTGTTTAAGAAACTGGATTGTTTATTCTGGAGCTTTCCTCACTGTCTGGATTGCATTCCTAGACTGTGCATTACTGTTTTTCTCATCAGAAGCAGATCTAGAGCCTTGATGAAATGTCAGGATCGTTTTTTCGCAGTAGTACTTCGTAGGTGGTATTGCATGCTTCTATGTCTGGTTGTCTCTCTTATGATTTTAGCAGCTATTAATGGTCATTACTTAATGCCGACTGATGCAATTCTAATTTTATCATTCCTTCCATTATTAACTGGAATACTTTTATAGAGAGAAACTTTGCTTCCTCAGCTGGTTACTTGGTGACGTAATTCACATGGTAAAGGCAGGATAAATGCTTGAGTCTTTCCCTTTATTTACCAGTTTTCAAAATGAGTTGGTTGTCTACCATCTTCCAAAGTTGACCAATGATTTGTTTTTTGGTAACAGCATTAGAAACGCATTGATTTTTATGTATTTTGTGTATAAAGAATGTTAAGGAAGCCATCGTCATCCACCTGTCTGGACATCTGAACAATGCATTTCATTTTACGTTCATGCTGGGCACACCTGTGATTATTCACTTGTTCTTTCCATTACTTTTGCCAACATGCATTTATCCTTTCAGGCTTGATTGTCTAGAATATTCATTCATTCATGAAGAAGCTGCTTGATTTAGATCCAATTTTTTTGTAATTCATTTTTTAGTATATAGTTGAATTTTTAGTAAGTTAAATGATAGCATGATGAGATTCTACTCTGTACTTCGTTGTATTTTATGAGGAAAATTATATGCTATACTTGAGAATCAAATTATTTAATCCATTTGAGGACCTTCTAATACACATCAAATAGTTGGTAGACTTCTTAACCCACAATGTATTGAGAATGCTGGCGTATAAAAATTAGTCTAGTTCTTCTTTACTAATGTCATTCATTACCTTCGCCATTCATCAGTGTGGTATTGCTAATAGAAAACAAGTTCAAAATAAGCTGTTGTTTTTCCCTTATAGTGATGGCGGCCTGCGTTTTGGAGAAATGGAGCGAGATTGTCAGATTGCCCATGGAGCAGCCCAGTTTTTAAGGGAAAGATTGTTTGAGGCATCAGATCCCTATCAGGTTCATGTTTGCAATCTTTGTGGAATAATGGCGATCGCTAACACCAGGACTCATACATACGAATGCAGAGGCTGCCGAAATAAAACCCAGGTGTGTATATACCTTAGCAGTTAGTATTTGTTTAGACTGTAACCATGTTGGTCTGATCATCCAGGCAGATTTAGTATGGTGGAAGAGATTGGCATTTTCACAATTTTGAATATCACATCTCTATAGGATTCCTAGTTTTAAAAGAGGAAAAAGAAAATTTGATTTCTCTAAAAATCAGTTTAAGTTTTAGTGTGGTAATGTCTCTAAGCTGCTCATCTTTTGGAAAAAGTCCTTATACAAGGAGTTTTAAACTGCATTTAAAAAATACCTTTTAATTGAGAAGGGTAAATATAAATTTTGTCTGGCAGAAAGGATGAAATACCAAGGCTCATTAGGAGAAAGAGCCACCAAAGGCCAAGGTAGCACGATGAGTGTGATCAGCCTATGCATTTATTCATCAGCTCCAGCACCAAGTTTTTACCTTTTTCTGGGGTAGGGAAACGGGATTAACTTCAGTACAGCTTTGTTAATTCTCCTTTTTTTTCTTTCAGATTTCTTTGGTGCGAATGCCTTATGCGTGCAAACTGTTGTTTCAGGAACTTATGTCTATGAGTATTGCACCTCGAATGATGAGTGTATAGCTCTTTTAAAAGATTCTCAGCAAGATACTTATAAATAGCTTTTGTTTCTATGATATGGCTTTAAAAATGACATGTACTACGTTGTGAGAAAAAGCATTTTATTTGTTTTTTTTAATGATACGCATGCTTTTCTTCTGTAAATAGACAATAAATTTTTGTAGATAGTCTCGATGAGTTATCTTTATTTTGTATTTCACTATGTAAAACACAGTGACTATAACTAAACTGTTAGTGGACTGGATGAAAAGAAACTGGTTATTAGGCAAAAACAGGGGTTGTAGTTATCCATGATTATTTTTAGCTATGCAGACTAATATATTCTGTAGGTTTATAGTTCGGTGCCTTCACCTGTTTAAAAAAATGATAAAAATTAGTTACATATATGGACACAGTTGACTTTCTAATTTTCAGTTTTGTTTCCAAATAAATGATGTTAACATGTGGAGATAAAGGATATGTGAGTAACTATATAAATGATATGGTGGCGTGCTCTTTGGTATTTGTGCTATATGGTTTTAGATGTGTAAGGCAATTTTGTTGTATTGGTCTATGTGTAAGAGATGGACTTTATTATAGAACTGGGAGACCAGTTCCATAAATGAGCAAGCTGAGATCCAGAGAGGCTAAGGAATTTTCCTTTGTCATCCAGCTCTTAATTCAACATTTAAAGTAGAATAATAATGGCAGAGCTGAGACTCGAACACATTACTCTTAGTTATTGCTCTGTTTGTTTCATTGCCTGGCATTATACATCTTGGCTGAAGAGCCAAACACATCTGACCAAACACATCTTTACTTGATAAATTCTTCCTTTCATACCACAGTTGAGTGATCTATACAGTGGAGTGGTTTGACAAAACACTGACAATAAACTTTGTTATTATTAGCTTAAGAGTAAAGCCAATCCAGACATCAGTCTAATAGAACCATATAAATGTAAAGTAGCATTCCTCTGACATGGCCAGGAAGGGGGCTGAAGAGGAAGCTGTTGACAGTGGAGTGGATAGAGGCAGACAGTTGGGTACTTGCCAATATATTTTCTGGCTTTTTCTTATAAAAGCTCAAGGTGAAGGACCTACAATCATTTTTTTTTTTTTTTTTTTTTTAAATGAGAATTTAATATAATCACAACTCCAAGGAAAACTGCCATATAGATAGTTATGGGAAATGTAAGCCATTACAGTCAGGCTCGAGCTTTTGTCTCATGTATAAGGTGAAGAAAGCATCTAAGTCATAACAACAGCATTCCGTCAACCATGTGAATGTTCTTTTGGAGCCTTGTGCACTACATTTTGATAATATACTTAATGCCCTTGTGGAGTCCTAACATTACAGGATTTCATTAAGAGCTATGTTTATACTTTCATGTTTGGTTTTGTTCTTTATTAAGCAAAAGCACTAGTCACGTTTAAATGGTTGGGAGGTTGACTGCCTACCTTTATTCACTGGTATTTCATGTAAGGCATCAACCACTGTAATTTTTGCTGATGCTGAAGCCTGTCCTTGGGAATTGGATGCATGGCACTCATATTCTCCAGCATCTTCCTTACTGAGAGGAGATACCTGTGAAAGAAAAAGGATCTTTAGTGTCTGTGGTGGTCTCTCTTCTTCCAATGGTTTCAATTAGGTCATTATTTCATAAGTTTCCTAAGATGACCGGGGGATTCAGAGCAAAGATACTGCTAAAAATAGTGCAACTCCTGTGCTAGGCTAATTATACAGCCACCATATGTGGTTTGCCAGGATTCACACTCCGAGGAAATGTCACGGACAACTTTTGATCACATTGCATAAGATAAGAACTGACCAGGTGTACATATCAGTTTGAGGGAGACTTTGATAAGGTATGTGATCCAGGTACTATCCATGAGTATCCATGGCTATCAAAGGTCAAGTAAAATAACTATTAATCAGTAATTGATTAATTAAATTAATGTTTGGACCAGTTAGTTCCCTATGAGAATTTTGCTTTGAACTCTTAGGGAAAAAAATTAGTTCTCATTTATTTGTCGGTCATTTCCACAATATCCAATAAATGCCAGCTGTTTTTCAGTCCCTCTGAAGGAGGAGCAGCTGGGCTGCTTCAAGAGAAGTGGAAGGACAAGCACTTTCAGCCTGGCAGCACATCAGGCACCTTTGCCCGGTCTGCTGTGACTCCCCCGCCCCCCGCCACTTCCACCCCTGACCTATGGACGTTTCCCCTTAAGAACTGGATCTTTGAAGGTGGGGCGTCTCCTCCCACACACTTGCAGCATGCACCTGGGGCCTGGTGCACCCTGAGTATGGTCCGTGGCTCCACCTGGGGCGCGAACCCAGGACCTTTTGCGTGTAAAGCAGATGTGCTAACCATTACACTATGGAGCTACCCCCTGCTGTCTGACTTTAACAATGAAATCCTGCCAGCTCTTGGTACTCACCAGCACCCAGCCAGTTACTTCATGTTTTTCTGGACCACCCCGAGTCTGAATGGCCAGGTTGTCCCGATCACCAGGCAAGAGTTCTGTTCTTTGAACTCCATAGTGACCCCTTTTTATCTGCAAAAAAAGGAGAAATAGTCTGAGTTCTCTGTACTTATCCACTGGGGAGTGACCACATTTCTATAGTGCACAGGCGTACATCAGACTTAATTGGATTGAATCCAGACATTTTTATATTACCCTTTCCTGAATACTCAAATAAAATGTAGATCCTCATTTCTTTCTGTCAGTTTCCTTGCAATGCCTGGGGAATACACACCGTCATACTCTCCTGCCACTGGCTACCATCACTCACTCATCTTTGTAAATTCTGCTTCTCAGTGCTGGGCCTTTTCTTGCCTGTGATGCCATGTTTGACTGACAAACTATGTCACCCAGTTCTAGATTTGATGCTGGAGACCTTGTGTAGGAGCCCAGGTCCTGCAACAACCTCACCAATGAAAAATAGTAGGTTGTCCAAAGCCAATACTATTCCTTTGTTCTGAGGGCCAAGTGTTCATTAAATCATCTACCAAAGTCCAGTGAGCAAAAACCCCTGTCAAATACATGCTGTTGTCATTATTCTCTGATGACCAAACTTGCTGCTTAGCCCTGTGCATGTCAGATTCAGGATGAGCTAAGAAGAAAGTTTCCTTGGTTTGAGGCCAATAGTGAATACTATTTTTTCCCCTCATTAAAAAAAAACAAGAACAAAATTTACCTGTATCCCCCCATCCCCACCCCATACACACACTTTTAACATAAATTTCTGGAAGTGGAATTGCTGAGTCACAGAGTATAAAATTCTTTTAAAGTTTGTGATAATGATGAGTTTTAAAAAAGGGTACACAAAATTAGTAGTTGATAGTTGGTCATGGGGATGGGGAGCATGGCAGAGGGAATGCAGTTAGCATTAATGTGTTGGCTAGGTGGAGGGCCAGAGGAGGGAGGGAGCAACTGGGCGTTTTATGAACTATATAGATGTCTGACCAATGTACTGTATACTTGAAACTAATTTTTTAAAAGGATACACGAAGGGATGTTTATTCCATCCCATGTTCCTTTAAGAGCTAAACTCTTATTGATACTACCTTTGTAATTAGAAAAAAAGTATTTACAATCTCAAATAGGTAGTTTTCTTCTCTTTTGCTTTTATAATTAAGCAAATCTTGAGTTTAAAAAGACCAGAGCATATATTTTTTTGACACTACATCATCGTTGCTTCTCCCAGCGTGGCCCTACAGGCTGTTACCAAACTGCTGTCTCAGCTTCACACCCACCCTTTATTTTCTCTGCTTTCCGTTGTCAGTGCTGGGACTCTGAAATCATGTAGGATCTGGGCCAGCTCCTACTCTATAAAAAGTATCTAGCATTACTGATTTGGAATGCCTGGTTTTGCTTTTTTTTTTTTGGATTTTCCTACATTGCCGGTATTAGAGACAGAAAACCAGGTATCTTGGTATTTTACTCACACAAATGCTATAAACAAAAGATATATTCAAAAGCATTTTTTTCCTTCACAGTTTCCCAGGTAGCTGGCAGAAATGGTTATGCTAGTGTCGATTTTGAAGTAATTTAAAAATATTTTTAATAATGGTTTAAGTATAATTTGATTCAATGACTAAAGTAATATGTCTTTGGTCTTTATTTATTGAATTCAGGATTCTTTAAGCGTTTTGTGTGTGACCAAAGTAGAAAAACAGCACAGAAATAATGAATCTTAGCAATGGAGCCATTGCTTCCCAGATCATGTAGCTCTTAAAGAGGATTCTGTGCCATTAACCTGACCCATCACGTACAGAGCAACTGTTCTTGTCAAGCATTTGATTGGAAAACTAATACTTATATTTAACAGAACTCATATTTAATACACTGTAAAAACTTATCCACCATGTAAAAAATATAGAAATGTCAAAAATTTTTACATGGCAAATTTTTACATGTCATTTTCACTTACGTAATGGGGAGTTCGTTGATAAACGTTTTCCAGTGTTTAAAAAAAGATGAAGGCTGAGAAAAGTGGCTTCTAAGATGATTCCACATATGTGCATTGGGCTGGAAGAGCCTCAAAGCCTGAACCTTAGAAATCTGTAGGGCAGGAAAACCGCCCGGTCACTGTTCACCACAAAGGGCCACTCGGGAGAGGATTCTGTGCCATTAACCTGACCCATCACGTACAGAGCAACTGTTCTTGTCAAGCATTTGATTGGAAAACTAATACTTATATTTAACAGAACTCATATTTAATACACTGTAAAAACTTATCCACCATGTAAAAAATATAGAAATGTCAAAAATTTTTACATGGCAAATTTTTACATGTCATTTTCACTTACGTAATGGGGAGTTCGTTGATAAACGTTTTCCAGTGTTTAAAAAAAGATGAAGGCTGAGAAAAGTGGCTTCTAAGATGATTCCACATATGTGCATTGGGCTGGAAGAGCCTCAAAGCCTGAACCTTAGAAATCTGTAGGGCAGGAAAACCGCCCGGTCACTGTTCACCACAAAGGGCCACTCGGGGAGAGTCAGAGGGAGACCTAGGAAGTCATTCCAGCCCTCTCTGGTTATATTTTAGCTGCAACAAATCTTCCTGAGTCCTGCTACTGCAGATAAGCAATTAATAAGAAAAAAGAAGTGCCATAGCAGGTGCTGGGAAAACTGGTCGGCCACATGCAAAAGAAACTGGACTAATACCAGACACAAAAATCTTATACCATACACAAAAACTAACTCAAAAAGCATTAAAGAATGTAAGACCTGAAACCACAAGACTCCTAAAAGAATAATGCATGGGCAGTAAACTCTTTAACATCAGTCTTGGTGGTGATATTTTGGATTTGACACCAAGAGCAAAGGCAACAAAAGCAAAAATAAACAAGTGGGACTACATTAAACTAAAGTTTCTGCAAAACAAACTCGACAGACAGGCAACCTACCAAATGGGAGAATTTGAAAATCATGTATCTGATAAGGGTTGGTATCTAAATATATAAAGAACTCAAAACTCAATAGCAAAACAAAAAACCAAAAAACAAAAAAACTGAATAAAAATGGATAGAAGATCTGAATAAACATTTTTCCAAAGAAGACATATAGATGGCCAATAGGTACATGAAAAGGTGTTCAACATCATTAATCATAAGGGAAATGCAAATCAAAATCACAAGGAGATAACACCTCACACCTGTTAGGCTGGCTATTATCAAAAGACAAGTGTTGGCAAGGATGTGGAGAGAAGAGAACCCTTGTACACTGCTGGTGGGAATGTAAGCTGGTGCAGTCATGATGGAAAACAGTATGGAGGTTCTTCAAAAAATTAAAAATAGAACTACCATATGATCTGGCAATTCCACTTCCAGGTATATATCCAAAGGAAATGAAATCACTATCTTGAAAAAATATCTGCACCCCTATGTTCACTGCAGCGTTGTTTACAATAGCTAAGACACAGAAACAACCTAAGCATCCAATGACAGATGAATGGATAAAGAAAATGTGGTATAAATATAAACAATGAACTATTATTCAGCCATAAAAAAGAATGAAATCCTGCCATTTATGGCAACATGGATGGACCTCGAAGGCGCTATGCTAAGTGAAATAAGTCAAAGATAAATACTGTATGATCTCAGTTATATGTGGAATCTAAAAAACAAAAAAGAAACAAACTCCCCCTCTCAACCAAACCAAGTTCTAGTACAGAGAATAGATTGGTGGTTGCCAGAAGTAGGGAGTGGGAGGTGGAGAAATGGGTGAAGGGAAGAGTCAAAAGGTACACAGTTCCAGTTATAAATTAGTCACAGGGAAGTCATGTACAGCATGGCAACTCTGTATTGCATATTTGAAAGTTGCTAAGAGAGTAGATCTTAAATGTTCTCATCACAAGAAAAAAAATTGTAACTTTATGTAAGATGACAGATATTAACTAGACTTACTGTGGTGATCACTTCATAATGTATACAAATATCAAATGGTTATACCCGAAACTAATGCAATGTTAAATGTCAATTATACATTGAATAAAAAAAATTTTAAGTGCCAATGATTACAGAAGCAGGATGGATTAGTTTGATTCATGCAAGTCAATGCATTTCAAGGATTCACTGAATTTCATGGAAACTTAAAAAGACATGTAGTACAGAACATACTTGTGCCTTTTTGGGGAAGTTTCAGAAGAGTTTTATGATGAAACAGAATATTTGTCTATTAAGATTTCTAGATCCCCAGCCACTGTAAACAAATAAAAGATAAAATGATTGTCTAGAAAAAAAGTTCTGTAATACAGGAGAAAGGGTCTACATCTTTAATGTACAAAAAGCCACAGACCAATAATAACAAGAAATAATTCAATAGAAAACTGGATAAAGAATACGAAGAGGCAATTCATAAAAAAAAAAAATCCAAATATTAAAATATTCTCAATGTAGTCAAGTAAATAAAAGAAATAATGTGATGATACTTTTTATCCATCATTAATAGAGGGATAATCTTCAGTGCTGGTCAGGACGCAGGGACGCGGCACCCACGCACTGCTGGAGAGTGAACTGCTACAGCCCATTTAGAAACCAATCTGACAATGTCTATTAAAACTAAAGTCTTTTGACCCATTCGTAGAACTTTTGGGGAAATCGATAGGGGAAAAAAGACTTGTATGTAGTCTATGTGTACTTGGATGTTTAAGGTGGCATCGTTTAATGATTATGGTACACCCATACTTGGAATATTACATGGTTGTTGAGAAGCAGACCTGGGGATGCCTGTGAAGTGTTTATCGAGAAAAACAAGTTTCAGAGTAACATGGACACTACGTTCTCGCCTCACACAGGGGATATGTGTTTTGTTTACGTTTGGGCAAGAATAAGGGGATGGGGGTATAAACCAGGGCAGTTCACATCGGTTATTTCAGGAAACAGGAGGTAAGGGGGAGATTAAGAACTCTTTCTTTATACATCTTTGGACAGTTTCTCTTTATTACCATTATAACTTGCTATTTTTAATGAAAGAAAAAAAGAATATTCTTAGAGGTCATGAAAGCCCAAATCTGAAGAAATGGTCAGGTGGGAAAAAAGAACTGAATAGGGAGCCTCTCAGTCTCATAAACACCAAGTGTTGGGAAGGAATTCTAGGTGTTTTACCTGCCCTGTAGGCATCATCTCTGATGTAGGGTTAAGGTAAATATGGCTATTTCAATTCACCTCCCCATTTCAAAATAGTTCCCTTGAAATCATTATAGGCGAAGGGTTTGCTGAAAAAGTATGGGGCTTGTTAATGTCGCATTATAACTCCTGGTCAGGAAAGCACAGACCCTTGGCCAGGCTGTGCCAACCATGAGAAATGCTGCTGTAGCCTGAGGTGTCCCAGAGAGAAGACCTGTCTGTCCCATTAGACCTGGTGAGCTAAGAACCCTTGAGCAAGGAAGATTCGCTATTTCTTTGAACCTCAGTTTAACAGGGGGAGGATTCCAATATTCATTTATATCCAAAAAGCAGTTCTATGTTAACTTGGATTTGGAAAACATGTGACCTGCGTATAAGCCTGTCTTCTTAACAATCTGGGTACAAGGACAGTGGGGAGAAAACAAATGGCCTGTTTAATTATTTAAGTCCGTGACTTTCAAAGTGTTTTGACATGGCCCACAGTAAGAAATACCTTTTGCATTGCGATCTGGGGTATATGAAAGAAAAGTTTTATGAAATGATACTCTTTCTAAATGTGATGCCTTAAGATAGTTTCTGTTCTATTTTTTATTTTAAAAGTAAAAGCTGGTTGTGATCACTACATTAAATTCGGGACTCACTAATGGGTCATGGTCTGCAGGCTGAAAACCTCGCTTTAGGTCATGCACATGGTAGATGAAAACAAGCAGAGCCTGGCAGCTGGGTTTTTGCTTGTTTCTGACAAGTGTGTAGAAACTTATTTTTTCTCCCTGCCAACACCTTCTCTTCACCCCTCGCCCCCGCAGTTGACAAGCCCTCAGAGAAGCTCATAAAATCTACCCCATACAATTTCAGAAGCTTAAAGATAAGATTCCCCTAGCAGATTTATTCCCCTGTTATGTGTATCCATTAGCTGGGGTGGGGCAGAAGAAAGGCTGAAGATTCAAATGATTATCTGCCAGATTTGTCAATAAGGTCATATGTCCCAGATACCTGGATTATCCTGGCTTCTCACTGTGTAATCCCTAGATCACTGCAACAGAGCTCTGTATAGATATTCTTTGGAGAAGTTGTTCCTCTGCCTCTCTACCACCTAAACAAACCAGTAACCTCTAAATAAGCTATAAGGAGTGTCAGCAGCTTTCACCATAAAGGCCAGGAACACATCCACTGGGGCACTTTGCTCTTCAATACTCTCCGCTCCCCTTTGAAAAATAACTTACTTATTGAGGTGAAATTTCACTGCTTCCTTTAACAGAAGTTTCAGCTGTAAAGGAGAGCTGTAGCACAACTGGTGTTGTCTCTGCCCACTCCCACCCCTAGGCAGTTTCTGGAATTACCCTGATTTCACTCCCACCAGATGGCCCCATGGGGGCGATGTAGCCTTCTGGCCACACGGGGGCGCCAGAGGCTGGCAGAGGACCCAACTTGAACCAGTCCTTCAGTGGGAATTTCACAATGCACCAAGGGAGGAGAGGAAGCCTTCTTTCCTCTGGGATCATTAAGCTGTGCTAATAATGTGAACTCGGAGCCGCCAATGACAATACTGCCCTCAGCATGAAGGAAACTTTCTGAGGTGGAAGAAAAAAATAAGACTAGTACATTGACAGCACAGTCGAGAGCAAAGAGTCTTAACTGCAGCATCGTATACCTGGATCCAGCTATCCTTGAGGTTGGAATCACCCCACCACCCCGCTCTGCTGCCTTTTTTTTTTTGCCTAAACTAGTTTGAAGTGAGTTTCCACAGCTTGTAACAAAAAGAGTTCTGGTGCCAAAATCCCTCCCAGAGTTCCAGAAGTTGCTCCTCTGGTCAGACACCAAGCAAACAAAATAATCAAGAGTCATCATGAATCTTCGAGCCTGCTGGAGAAGTAAGGCTGTACAGGGGGAATGTAGTTATACCTTTTTACTTAAACTAGATATCTTTTTTGTTAGCGCAAGCTTGATGATGTTTACTCAAGAGGACTGTTGTAACCCTTCAGCAAGTCAAAATATATTAAAAGGGAAATAATATAAAACAATGTACAGTACAACTGTGAAGTAGTATTTGATCTGGCAAATGAGTGTTTTCTTTTCCCTTCTATAGACATGCTGAGAATCTGTTGCCCTTCAAATGTGAAGAGAGTTATACAAGAAAATGTCACTTGAAGGGAAACATTTCCAGGCACAGTAGCTAATCGACTGAGTGCTACTATGTATTTGACAATAAACCAAGTGATTTTACCTGCCTTACTTTACATAATCTTTACAAGGATTATATGCTACTTTCATCATATAGAGGACATTGAGCCTTAGAGCAGTGGTTCTCAATCTAGGTGATTTTTTCCCCCTGGGGCATTCAGTAATATCTGGAGACATGTTTGACTGTCACAACTGGGGGTAGCAGAGGGGTGGGTGCTACTGGCATCTAGTGGGTAGAGGCCAGGGATGCTGCTAAACATCTCACAAGGCACAGGGGAGCCCCCACAACATAGAATTATCTGGCTCAAAGTATCAACAGTGCTGAGGCTAAGAAAACCCTGGCGTCTAGAGAACTCAGCCAACCCAGCTAAGGAACTCATTCTTAACCACTATGCTGTACTGTCTCCAATGGGGACACTCACACACCCATGCACACACACTCACACTCATGTGCATACACACACACACATACATACCCTCATTCACCCACGTGGATACATGCACATACCTGTGCATGTATACTCATATACTTATGTACACACACACTCATGTGCATACATCCACACACACACCTGTGCATGCACACTTACACACCCATGCTCGCATGTGCACAGAGGGTGGGTATGGGTGTTCAGCATTATAGTTTTCCAGTTCCTCAGGCTCCCTGCTCTGGCATCGCTAACAAAAGCAGAGCAGGGACTATTCTGGAGGTCAGTAAAATTGCTGGACAGACCCGGGGAGGTGTCTGGAAAACTGCTACAGGGCTTTGTCTTTGAGGGGCAGCGGGCAGCGGGCAGCGGAATAGGCTGAGGATTTTAGGTTATTATCATCCTTGTTCGGTGAGAGAGGATCTTGTCAGTCTAGGCATCTTCCTGAAATCTGTGCCACTGACCTTGTTCCAGATGAGGACAGGAGTTGGGATTCCAATGACCTCACAGCTCAAGTATACCTGGGCACCAGTGACATTCCAGATGTCCTTGGGGGCCGTCACAATGGAAGGACCTACAAGAGAGGGCACAAAGCCAAATGCAGTTTTTGAAACAGTCTTTAACATCAGTCAGCAGGCTAGGAAGTAAATACTTGATTATGTTTGTAAATCGTCTGAAGCAAATTTCAAAGACCAGACTGGCTTCCCCCTGCCACTGGCATGATTTTGAGCTATGCTTTGGGAATGCATACATCTAGACAAAAACAAAAATAATTTTTTTCTCAAATCAAGCTTAAATGAGTTTAATTTACCAGCTCTTTTGCAATTAATATAGTGAAATTTTAGTTCCACAATATTTCGTGTTTTTCTTTTTTACCAGTATTTTTATTTGGGGAGGGGGGCAACATACAACCATTCCGTGGGTAATGAACAACAACAAAGAAAACATCTTGGAAGGTATCTGAAAATGTGCTGAGTGCCCAGAAAAGATGGTAGTTCCTGCTTCAAGAAGCTTAGGATTTGCAGTTGACAAGTCAATGGCGATAGGGCAGGGATGGAAACCTCCATGGAAGAGAGAACCTGGAGCGCTGTGTGCTCCGAGAGGCTGGGAGGAGATATTTGAGAACAGAAGCAGTCTGGCTGTCCAGGAAGAATGTGGAAGGACCTTTCTTCCCAGCACAGGCTGAGGGAGGCAAAGTGAAGCAGCTGACAGGTCTACTGTGTGTGACCAGGGCCCCGAGGAGAGGCTCTTTCCCAGGGTTCTCTGTGTCCAGGTCCCTGGCAGCAGGCATTGGCAAGTTGGGGGCACCCCTCGAGGCACCGTCTGAATAGTCACCAGAACGGGACCACCCAGGGAGAGCCTGGAGTGACACCTCCTCAACTCCGGGATCCTGGAACACATTCCTAGGCCTCCTCCATCGTATCCGCTCAGGTGGAAGGTCCTTAGCATCGACACCAACGGTGTGCAGCCTGCTTGTTACCAGGGAGGTCCTGGCTGTGGGCCGAATCTGGCCGGCCACCTGCTTTTCTGCATGGCTTATGAGAGATCTTGGCACTTTTAAACGGTTGAAAATTAAAAGAAGGATATTTCATGACATGAAAGTTATAAGAAATTCACATTTCAGTGTCCATAGAATAAAATTTAATTGGAACAGAGCCACACCCAGAGTGGAGCAGGTGCGGCTGACACTGTGCAGCCTAAAACAGTCATTATGTGGCCCCACATAGAAGTGCTGATCCCTGCTCTAATCAACTGAGGGGCAACCACGCCTAAATCAGACATTATGGGAAAGTCTCAGGACTTCAATCCTTTGCATAGTACCAGAAGCAGATGCAAGTAAACCCACTGGCTGACTTCTGGTCCAGCTCTGAAAGGCGACATGTTTGAAGCCAACAGATACTGAAAGGGCTGTGCTTGCTTACTGTTCTTTTCTGCTCAGGGGCCAACTCCCCAACATCTGCAGAAAAGTCATGGACACCTACTTTATAGTGGGTGGTAATGAGAATTTCACTTCTGCTAATTCTGAATGCCAGGTTTCAGACACCGGGGACTTCAGAGAGACCAGGGACAGTCCACAGAAGAGGGGCGTGGAGCTGGAAGCCTGGGCTCCCTGGTGCAACAGTGCGCTGTACTCAGGCTCAGTGCCGTTTCTTGAATGAATGAGTTAATCCTTCCCTCTGAATTTCAGCTGTCCGCTGCCCTGGGTCTTCAGCCGACCGTCTGAGTGCAGGGTCATCTTGCATCAAGTCCTGGGAAAGGGACAACCTCCCCTTCAGGCCTGGAGAGTTTTGTGACACAGTCAGCATTCAAAGGGCATGAAGTCGCCCCTTCTGCAACAGCTATTTCTAGCACACTATTAATTTCTTGAAATAGAAAGGAAATGATCCCAGCATGTAAGATTTTTCCCACTCATCTCAAGTATTAGAAACTGATTTTTTTTAAATCTCTGGGGCAATTTAATTTTTTCCTTTATAAGAATGTACAAAACAATCAAAGTTTTGAAAGCTCTAAATATACTCCGTGCTTCCTTCCCCCTATACCATAGGTCTAAAGAGGGAGCCTCTATCTTGGCCAGGGGTCCTGGCTTTTCTGTTGCAAATGTGGATGTGGTGATCATGGTGGTGCTGTGTTTATGTGTGTTTCTGTCTCTGTCTCCAATGCTTCCTACTCTGAAAGCAGCAACTCAGGACCCTGCAAAGGGCTGGGCAGGGCCTCGCCCCCCCATCCCAGGCTTCCTCCAGGGCCCTGGGACCACAGGGCTTGGACACCACCGAACCGGATCTGGCTAGACTTTAAACTGCTTTTGCTCACTTCTCTGAGGGCCTCTATGTGGCTCTCCTCCTTCCTAGACACTGACTTAGGAGGATAATCTCAAAGCTCAAGGGATCTCAAGGAATTGTTCTGAGAAGAATACACCAGTATTTAGAGATCTGGAGGGGCTCAGAGACAAAGCTGCCGCTCACGTATCGAAACCACACAAAGAATGTACAGCATTTTTACTACAAGGCTTCAGCACCTCGTCCTTGCAACACACTTATTTTAACTCACATCCATCTTCCTGTAGCCAGCACAGGGAGCACAGCCATCCACCTTCATCAGGGGGAGGGTCCTGGAGTGTATGTGGAGGAATTCTAGCCTGATTTTCTGCCACAGATCTTCGAGACATGCCATGGATTCTTCACATGGCATAATTTAAAACCTAAGATATTTACAGTTTTAATACAGTCCAATTTATCAAATTTTTTCTTTTATGATTAGTGCTTTCTGTGTCCTGTTAAAAAAGTTTTACCTAGTCCAAGTCTGTAAAGGTCTCCTGTTTTCTGCTATAAGAAGATTCATAAGTTTTTACATTTTGCACTTAGGTTTGTGGTCCATCTTGAATTAATTTATGTGTATGCTATGAAGTGGAGGTAAAAGTTCACCCCTCCCCCACCAAGGAAACCCAATTGCTTTGGCACCATTTGTTGACAGGATCCTTTTTTTCCTACTGAATCATAATGGTGCCTTTGTGGTGAATCCATTGACCATACAAGGATGAGTCTATTTCTGGATTCTCTATTCTGTTCCATTGGGTCTATCTGTGCACCAAAAACCATAGTATAACTTAGAATTAATGTATTAAAACTGAAGCACTGACTAGAGGGCAGAGCCATTATATCCATCTCCCTCCAATCCTCTCCTTATGCCAGGAAGCAGAACATTTGAGGAGGAGCAAGAATCTTTTAAAACATCTGAATCCAGGAATACCTTCGAAGAGAGCCAGCACCAGGGGGTTCGAGATTAGGATAAATCGTGCTGTGGGTTCCTCTCTCCTAACCCTTGGAACACATGTAATACCCCAGGTTAATGGGCTGAGTCAATATTTGGACCATCCTAAAAACAGAAATGATTTTGTCAATCCTGCTACCAGGCTATCCCTAGAACGCTACAAGATTCTCATATAACAAAAACCTGTACTACTCGCTGACTCCTGTCGAGTGGATAGGGTGGACAGGCCGGGGAGGGGGACATTGGGGACAGTTTGCTGCACAACAGTCACAGAAATGCTTGGCCATTTCAAATGTCCTTGAACAAATGCTAGATTCAGTAATGTAACGAAAAATTTAATGAACAATACCAAAACCATAAGTGCTAACCTACAGAATGACTTCTGCGTTTTGACATGTGGTCTCTCGCATAGGATACTCAGATCAGTGAATGGTTAGACTAATATTCAAGCGATCAACTGACTTCCTGGAGTAGGTGGAGGCTGGCTGGCTCCCCGGGTTAGAAGAAGCCGTAGATTGCAGAGTCTTCCTGCTTCCTTTGTTCAGTGCAAATACCCACAGGGTCCCCTACTTACTAAACTCTGCCTGGTTCTTTGCCGCTCATTGGTCTGGAAATCGGAAATTCCTTCAGAATGTGAAGAGGGGATGGATAAATTCCTGATAAAGGCGTAAAACACCAGCAGTATAGAAAGATGAGTGGCGATCCATGGTGAGAAAGAGTACGGAAAAGACTTAATGTGACCCACAGAGACAGCGGGTGGACAAGTCTTATATGTATGGGATGGTGAAAATATTTTGGGCCAATATTTTGGGCTAATCGGATGGCAGATCTGACAACACTACGCTCCCCTCCCCCACTCTAAGGAACTATCATCCCACATCTCTCACTAATAAGCAAGTTCACCGCACACAAGGATGGCAAGCTGCACATCCACCGTGCAACCCAGTCCCTGAAAGTTCTGTTCCACCACAGGGGCGTGTTCAGCAAAGTGCCTCCTTACCAAGTAACTTCTAACTCTGTCGAGGGTCTATCTGTGCACCAAAAACCATAGTATAACTTAGAATTAATGTATTAAAACTGAAGCACTGACTAGAGGGCAGAGCCATTATATCCATCTCCCTCCAATCCTCTCCTTATGCCAGGAAGCAGAACATTTGAGGAGGAGCAAGAATCTTTTAAAACATCTGAATCCAGGAATACCTTCGAAGAGAGCCAGCACCAGGGGGTTCGAGATTAGGATAAATCGTGCTGTGGGTTCCTCTCTCCTAACCCTTGGAACACATGTAATACCCCAGGTTAATGGGCTGAGTCAATATTTGGACCATCCTAAAAACAGAAATGATTTTGTCAATCCTGCTACCAGGCTATCCCTAGAACGCTACAAGATTCTCATATAACAAAAACCTGTACTACTCGCTGACTCCTGTCGAGTGGATAGGGTGGACAGGCCGGGGAGGGGGACATTGGGGACAGTTTGCTGCACAACAGTCACAGAAATGCTTGGCCATTTCAAATGTCCTTGAACAAATGCTAGATTCAGTAATGTAACGAAAAATTTAATGAACAATACCAAAACCATAAGTGCTAACCTACAGAATGGCTTCTGGGTTTTGACATGTGGTCTCTCGCATAGGATACTCAGATCAGTGAATGGTTAGACTAATATTCAAGCGATCAACTGACTTCCTGGAGTAGGTGGAGGCTGGCTGGCTCCCCGGGTTAGAAGAAGCCGTAGATTGCAGAGTCTTCCTGCTTCCTTTGTTCAGTGCAAATACCCACAGGGTCCCCTACTTACTAAACTCTGCC